GACAACAGGTAGTCAATGAGACGAGTGCACAGACGACTGGTGACGGGAGATGACAAACAGTAACAAGAGACAGAGGTTACATGCAAAGTGAGATGACACAGAATGAAGCTGTACTGAAGTGAATAATGATAAAGGCAATAAAGAGATAATTAATCCACCACAGCTCTGATTGGGGATAATGGTTTGCGTGATTTTTCAAGTAAAAATGTCAAAATATTTGCTAGTTCGTTGATGTATTTCTCTGATTTATATCACTGTCATATAAACATATTGGTGTTTTTTGCTGCTGCTGATGATAAGGAAATGATTACCCTCATTACCAACTAATCTGCCTTTTAATTTACAGAAATCAATCAATTGGCTTTTCTATTAACCTGTTTTCCAGGTCTCAGGCTCGAAAATGACATGCCCAGAACAAATGACTATAACTTCACTTCTAAAAAGGGGTAAATGACTAATATTTTTTCTCAAAGCAATGATAAACCTGTGAGTTGGATGTAGAAAAGAATCAATATCCTTTTTTTTATTTTAAAGTAAATTCAGATTGAACATAGTAAAAAAAATTTAAATTATAGTGTCCGTCCAAAAAAAAACATTACTTATAGTGAAAACCACCCTTGAATGATGGGATAGTAGAATAAAAGCTTTAGGAATCCAAACAATAACATATAATAAGTACCCTGTATCAAGATTGATGCAAAACAAGTGACATTTTACTTTTTTAGAGAGATTTACAAAAAAAAAAACTTCTGGGGTCATTTGGGTGCATTTTCCATATCTCTGGCCCCCCTCGTTCGATTTTGATGATTGACACCTCTTTGTAACCGTTAGAGCCAATAGAATCGAGGGGAAGTTCCTCAAATCCATCTAAACATTACCCATTGGGGAATGAGTGCTGCACAGCCAGAATACCCCGGAACCGGAAGCTGTGATACACTCTGGTGGCTTTCATTAGCAACTAATATGAAATCTCCGTTTTTTACATAAAAATTGAATGATGGATTATCAGGAATCATTTAAAAGTGACAGACACATTAGATTAACCTATGGATTAACCTTCAGCCGCGTTTTTTATCGTTTTAATAATGCCATTGAACACGACCTTTTTTTCAGAATAACAGCTAAGGTGAGACGATCTCCCGTGAATGCTCCGTAAAGCTACGTGTTGTGATGTCTGTGTTTGCTTCCCCTGTCGCGAGTTCTGATCGCTCAGTGATGATACTGATACCTATAGAATCTGTGGAATCTCAGCTTTAATCAGATATCTTGTATGTGCAGTTACGATAAGTAATAAGGGTATTTTTACCTTGAGTTCTGTGCTAATGCATTATCATTTTTTCGCTCAGGGCTCATTTAGACGCTTCTTGTGAGACTTGTGCTTTGTTTCGGTAGAAATGGTTAATATCTTCAGTTAGCTGAGTTTCTTCCCGTTAAATGGGTACGACGAAAAAAATACCCGCAGGAACCGGATTAGGGTCCTCTCGGGCTTAACAGGTTAAATGTATAAAAATGTCGTTAAAAATCACAATTCTTTTGGACTCCAAGGTTTTTCGAAAGTTTTGCTTTAACCAATATCGTTTACTATCACATACCATTTTAGAATCTAGAACCAGCTGATTTGGCTTTTTTGTTTGAAAAATGACTCAAAATTAATAAATTATCAAAATATTTGCAATTACATTTTGAAAGACGTGAAAAGATCAAAAGGTATTTTCACTATTTTCTAACAATGTGGACATCTAAAAACCAATGTAATTGCATTGAACTAAGACGTACTACATGTGCTCCTTTCTTACCCATGTTTCTCATGATGTAATTGTGTGCATGCGTGTGAATTTGTAATTTGTGATTTTACAACACATCGAGCGATTACCATGCGCAGGTAGTTCATCAGACTGGTCCCGTGTTGCCAGATCTGAGGCGAGGAGCAGCTGAGCGGCTTCACTCCGATTTCCTGACTGCGGTTCAATTCCCTCACGGCCCCCACCACCACATGCACCGCATCAAACATCAGCGCTGACGAGAGCTGTGGAAGAGGAAACAAGAGAGTTACGAAGGGTGAGAAAGGCAAAATGGGGGAGGGATGGAAACCCAGCGAAGAGAGACGTGAGTCAAGAGATGTGCGGGTTCAGATGATTGAATGTTTAACAGGGAAGGAGAGAGAGAGGGGAGAGATGTGAGGCAAACCAGCTGGGAGGAAACACAGATGGATACATCAATACCCATTAAGTACAAGCAAAAGACTAGCTGCATCTCTTTAACTGCTCCATGAATCAGTGTGAGGAATAAGGTAGCTTAATATTTGATGTGGCGCACAAACAAAGCTTTGAAAATGACTCCTAAATGTGCACATGCATGAGTGCAGAGCGCCGTGAGACTCACCGCCGGCCCGGGGTACGTCAGGTCACATCCCTCCCTCCACGAGAGATTCAAGCTCCGGATGAACTCCAAGTAGAAGGGATGGGTGGTGTTAAACATGGAGAAACCCACGATGTTGGACTGCTCATCCACTATGTCATCCAGTCTCAGGAGCGGGAAGTCCTGGGTACACGAGGAATCAGAATCCCTTTATAATAATAAATGTATTTTGTAAGCGCTTTTACGGGTGCTCAAAGTTGCTTTACAGAGGTAGTGAAAAGGAAAAGGATTATACATCACATTAAAATCAAGCAATAAAACAACAATCTTTATGTAACTTTTAATCTTTTTTTAGCATATGTTTATTATATTATAACTTAGTACTTTTTTAACGCATGTAAGATATGCAACACTAAGCTGTCTGTGGCTCTTTCCTGCTGTAACGCTGCAAATGTCCCCTCTGTGGGACTAATAAAGGTATTCTGATTCTGATTCTGAACAATCACACATTAAAAGTTAGTTTGAAGAGGTGAGTTTTTTGTACGTTTCTTTTGAAGGTGTTACGGTGAGTGAAGCAAGCAGGACCCAAATGCAGATAACGCTGAAAAAAGCCTTTATTTCAAGGATAAAATAAAAATAACTTGGACAAAACAGAACTCTCACCAGTGAACTCATTCACAAACAAAAGACGAACCAACACTGAACACAGCAAGAGACAAGACTAAATACAGGGAGGGGTAATCACGAGACGAGAAACAGCCGGGCAGGGGAGGAGAAACACAAGGGCAACAGGTGAACACAATCAGACAACTAGACACACCAGGGAAACTAACGACAGGGGGAAAACACAGGGAGAGGGACCAGACAATAAACCAGGAGGAAAACATGACAGGGAGAACAGCAAAACACCCAAACCTAGACATACGTGACATAACACACTAATCCTGACAGAAGGTGGTGAGGTCAGTGCAGTCTCTGATGGGTTGTGGGAGTGAGTCCCAAAGCAGGGAAATGTACAGTGTGACAGCAAGAGAGATATAGCAGATAAAAGGCAAGGAATAGCTAACGTAATTATAGAAAAAAAAGCACACATTATAAATATATATTTTTTAATAAAGAGAAATAAGTACTCATCCATGGCTAAACAATCCGGAGCAGCATTTAAATCGGTAAGTGAACATATTAACGTTTGATATACTATAGGATGTGTTTTGCACATGAAAATTATCATAGTTATTGGTTATTACTCGTCTATTATTATTATTATTACTATTAGAATCAGAATCAGGTTTATTACCGGGTAGGTTTACACGTACGAGGAATTTGACTTGATTTCACGGTGCATACATAAAAGTAAAACAAAAATGTAAAAACACAGATAGAGAACTATTTCAGGAAAACTATAATAACATTAAAAAATATAGTAAAATATTGCAGTATTTAAACAGAAATAGAATGGAGTAAAACATTGAATAAAATGTGGCAGTAATACAAAAAAACAGATATTATGTACATTAATATAATGATGATGATATTGCTTATTACTCTTCTGGGTGTTTGCAGAGAGAGACAGAACATTCAGGTGAGTGACAATGTTGACAGTGTATCAGAATCTGAGTGCAGAAGAAACCCACTGTGCGAAGAAAAGTGAGATGAATAAAGAAACAGAGGCAACAGGGGGTGACAACATTTAATCTCTGATGGAGAGAGAGAGAGAAAAACAAAAACATACAGACAGAGAGGAAAATGGGAAAACAGAGATACGGGGGGGAGAGATGTTGATGGAAATGACTCCAGTAGTTCTTCACAGAAATATACACACAAGACGTGGCTTCTAAAGCACATCAGGTGGAGATCACGCACGGCATAAAGTGACACATTAATTCAATATGGTGGGAGGGGAGGGGAGCATATCAAAGAGGCAGATGAAAAACACCAGAAGCGCAGAGAAGGTAGAAGAAGAAGAAGAAAGGGCGCATCACATCTGTCATCACCTTCACCGGCTCAGACCCCTTTTTCTTTGCTATCCTCCTCTGCACTTCCACATCTTTTTACAGGGTGTTCCTTTCTCAGATCTCTCCCTTTCCTTCCCTCCACCGAAGCTTCATGTCCTCTCTCTGTCACCTCTCCCTTTATCTCACACTATGCTCAGCGTTGCCCACTGTCAGCTTTGAAATCAGCTGTGGTCTAGAGAGAATTATGAGTGAGGTAACAAACGTACAGCACAATATTCGTATTAAAGGTATCGAAGATCTTTTATACTTGCAAGTATGACGTCTCACCAGAGAGCATGTACTGTTCTGAGTGAAACAGGCTCTCCTTTATAGGAGGACGTCAAAGCTTAGTTACATTACAAACAACATTTGGTTAGGCCAGCTGAGACCCCCTGGCACTGTGTGCAAAACTCACACCCTACACAGAGCAAAAGGGATACAGATAACACCTTATCCTAACTTCCTTCCCCTCATCCTATCTCCTAATGGATGTCATAAAACCCCCTAGTCCAAACACATCTGTTCTACACACACATTGAAAAGGTCCCTTCCCACGCTATGACTTAATCAGAGGAACAATGTTAATACATTTGATCTCACAATTTCCGTAACACCACCCATAAGGGGACAGAGGAGGAGGAGGAGGAGGAGGAGGAGGAGGAGGAGGAGGAGGAGGAGGGGATAACGAAAGGAAGGAGAAATTCAAAGAGAGGTAGAATTGGGAAGCTCTTACCATTGTGGTGAGGATGTACTTGTAAAATGCAGTCGTCATCCCCTCTGACGCCTGTGAACCAAAGACAGAAAACATTGAAGATGAGGGAAGATTGATGAAGGGAGAGATGGCAAAGAGTTATTGAAGCAATGGAGACAGTTTGGGGGAAAGTAGGAGGGAATGTTGGGAGGAGATGGAGCATACGTTAATCACAGTTTTACATCATCAGGCTAACACTCGGACATTTCGCCGAGGGCGGGCAGCCGCTCCGATGTGCCCGGTGAAAACATTCCATACACATTCAAACTGTGACTCACTGCGCTGGCTACCGGCACTACAGGCCCTACTATGAATCAGAACGAGCCGGGGTCATCAGCGCCGTGTCCCAGCCAAAGATGTTCTTTCGTCATGTATTTTCTTAAGAGCGCAAGTGATTGCAGCTGGCAGACATACATATTTGTTCCCAATGCAGCCCTGGAGGGCAGGGAAGGTAAAAACATGCAGCCTTTGAGAGAGTTGTGTGTATACAGATGATAAGCTCTGCATGAACATGAATTTCCCGAATAGGTAGGAAAATGCAAATCCCTGAGCTTAAAGGTCCCCTATTATACTCTTTTTCATCAATATATTATAGGTCTCTGAAGTGTTTGGCTCCAATCACCAAACAGATCATTGCAGCATTACCCATAATCCCCTCTGTTTCAGCCCTGTTTCCAAAGTGCTGATTCTCTGTCTGTTACTTGAGATGAAAATAAGGAGCCCCTCCCCACGCCCCTGAGAGAGATTTGGTTACAAAGACACAATGGTGCTCTAGGAGGAGATTCAGGTGATAAGGGGGGGGGGGGGGGGTTACCTTGGTTGCTGATTGGCTAATGGTTACACAAGCCAAAACATCGTTATGACATCACAAAGTGGCCAAAATCTGATCAGCTCGTTTTCAGACAGGTTTTTATAGAAATGGATCAGGACAAAAAGAGAGAATCTTTGTTCCTGAAACTTTCAGAGTCTCTTTCCACAGAGGGGACACATGTTGATGAAAGAGGACATGAAGAAGAGGGGACACATGTTGATGTAGAAGAGACATGAAGAAGAGGGGACACATGTTGATGTAGAAGAGACATGAAGAAGAGGGGACACATGTTGATGTAGAAGACATGAAGAAGAGGGGACACATCTTGATGTGGAAGAGACATGAAGAAGAGGAGACACATGGTGATGAAGAAGAGACATGAAGAAGAGGGACACATGTTGATGTAGAAGAGACATAAAAAGAGGGGACACATGTTGATGTAGAAGAGACATGAAGAAGAGGAGACACATGGTGATGAAGAAGAGACATGAAGAAGAGGGGACACATGTTGATGTAGAAGAGACATGAAGAAGAGGGGACACATGTTGATGTAGAAGAGACATGGAGAAGAGGGGACACATGCTGATGAAGAAGAGACATGAAGAAGAGGGGACATATGTTGATGTAGAAGAGACATGAAGAAGAGGGGACACATGTTGATGTAGAAGAGACATGAAGAAGAGGGGACACATGTTGATGTAGAAGAGACATGAAGAAGGGGGACACATGTTGATGTAGAAGAGACATGAAGAAGAGGGGACACATGTTGATGTAGAAGAGACATGAAGAAGAGGGGACACATGTTGATGTAGAAGAGACATGAAGAAGAGGGGACACATGTTGGTGTAGAAGAGACATGAAGAAGAGGGGACACATGTTGATGTAGAAGAGACATGAAGAAGAGGGGACACATGTTGATGTAGAAGAGACATGAAGAAGAGGGGACACATGTTGATGTAGAAGAGACATGAAGAAGAGGGGACACATGTTGATGTAGAAGAGACATGAAGAAGAGGGGACACATGTTGATGAAGAAGAGACATGAAGAAGAGGGGACACATGTTGATGTAGAAGAGACATGAAGAAGAGGGGACCATGTTGATGAAGAAGAGACATGAAGAAGAGGGGACACATGTTGATGAAGAAGAGATATGAAGAAGAGGGGACACATGTGATGAAGAAGAGACATGAAGAAGAGGGGACACATGTTGATGTAGAAGAGACATGAAGAAGAGGGGACACATGTTGATGAAGAAGAGACATGAAGAAGAGGGGACACATGTTGATGAAGAAGAGACATGAAGAAGAGGGGACACATGTTGATGAAGAAGAGACATGAAGAAGAGGGGACACATGTTGATGTAGAAGAGACATGAAGAAGAGGGGACACATGTTGATGAAGAAGAGACATGAAGAAGAGGGGACACATGTTGATGAAGAAGAGACATGAAGAAGAGGGGACACATGTTGATGAAGAAGAGACATGAAGAAGAGGGGACACATGTTGATGAAGAAGAGACATGAAGAGAGGGGACACATGTTGATGAAGAAGAGACATGAAGAAGAGGGGACACATGTTGATGAAGAAGAGACATGAAGAAGAGGGGACACATGTTGATGAAGAAGAGACATGAAGAAGAGGGGACATGTTGATGTAGAAGAGACATGAAGAAGAGGGGACACATGTTGATGAAGAAGACATGAAGAAGAGGGGACACATGTTGATGTAGAAGAGACATGAAGAAGAGGGGACACATGTTGATGTAGAAGAGACATGAAGAAGAGGGGACACATGTTGATGTAGAAGAGACATGAAGAAGAGGGGACACATGTTGATGTAGAAGAGACATGAAGAAGAGGGGACACATGTGATGAAGAAGAGACATGAAGAAGAGGGGACACATGTTGATGTAGAAGAGACATGAAGAAGAGGGGACACATGTTGATGAAGAAGAGACATGAAGAAGGGGGGACACATGTTGATGTAGAAGAGACATGAAGAAGAGGGGACACATGTTGATGAAGAAGAGACATGAAGAAGAGAGGACACATGTTGATGTAGAAGAGACATAAAGAAGAGGGGACACATGTTGATGAAGAAGAGACATGAAGAAGAGGGGACACATGTTGATGTAGAAGAGACATGAAGAAGAGGGGACACATGTTGATGAAGAAGAGACATGAAGAAGAGGGGACACATGTTGATGAAGAAGAGACATGAAGAAGAGGGGACACATGTTGATGAAGAAGAGACATGAAGAAGAGGGGACACATGTTGATGAAGAAGAGACATGAAGAAGAGGGGACACATGTTGATGTAGAAGAGACATGAAGAAGAGGGGACACATGTTGATGAAGAAGAGACATGAAGAAGGGGGGACACATGTTGATGAAGAAGAGACATGAAGAAGAGGGGACACATGTTGATGTAGAAGAGACATGAAGAAGAGGGACACATGTTGATGAAGAAGAGACATGAAGAAGAGAGGACACATGTTGATGTAGAAGAGACATGAAGAAGAGGGGACACATGTTGATGTAGAAGAGACATGAAGAAGAGGGGACACATGTTGATGTAGAAGAGACATGAAGAAGAGGGGACACATGTTGATGAAGAAGAGACATGAAGAAGAGGGGACACATGTTGATGAAAGAGACATGAAGAAGAGGGGACACATGTTGATGTAGAAGAGCATGAAGAAGAGGGGACACATGTTGATGAAGAAGAGACATGAAGAAGAGGGGACACATGTTGATGAAGAAGAGACATGAAGAAGAGGGGACACATGTTGATGAAGAAGAGACATGAAGAAGAGGGGACACATGTTGATGAAGAAGAGACATGAAGAAGAGGGGACACATGTTGATGAAGAAGACATGAAGAAGAGGGGACACATGTTGATGAGAAGAGACATGAAGAAGAGGGGACACATGTTGATGTAGAAGAGACATGAAGAAGAGGGGACACATGTTGATGTAGAAGAGACATGAAGAAGAGGGGACACATGTTGATGAAGAAGAGACCTGAACAAGTGGATTTTGCATAATAGGAGACCTTTAACTGTGTGTGTACTGTTTACAAATGCATACCCTGCACGTATGTAGAAGGTACTGATGTTTGAGGACTGACCTTCTTGAGGATGAGATAGGAGACGGAAGCGTTTGCATCAATGATGATGGTGGCCACTTTGTCGTCACGGATCTCCTTCAGCAGCGGCGTAGGGTCCAGGTTGTCATCCAGCATCCTGATTGACAGCGTCTCCCGGGAGATGAGGAAGCGGCGGACCAGTTCCTCCAATCTCAGCAGGCCTGAGGCAAAGCCAAAGCACCGGTGAGCTGCATATCAATGTCTGTATCAGTAGACACAACTCATATTTCCAAAATGTAAGCTTTGCAGGACCGGAGAGAATCTTGATTTATTCCCAGCTGGTCATATATGTGTCATTTTGCAAAGCATGATGGATGGTTTGTCTAAATCCCCAGGAAATGAAACATCATTTAATACAGACACTAGCGTATGTCTGCATTCGCTGTTTCTCTCAGACAGACTTACCATCTATTATGACCTCCACCAAGGTGCTTCTGGATTCAGTGGGTTTGCATAGCGGGTTATCTTAAAATACACTTGAAAGATTTTGTAGAAGAGTGAAGCAACGGGAAGGTAAACAACTGATGAGTTTGTGCTGTGGAGAAAGCGCCACAATGTAACCATTTATAAAGCACTACACATTTAGGAAGGCTGTGGCTCAGTGGATAGTGTGATGGACTTCGAATCAGGGGTGTAGCGAGTTCGAGTCCAACTGCAGTCAGCATGTCGTTGTGTCCCTGAGACACTTCACCCCAAAGTGCTCCTGTGGGGATTGTCCACAGTACAGAATGTATGTATGTTTGGATAAAAGCGTCTAACAAATGACACGTAATGTAATTTAGCTTTAAACTGCTCAAATGTTCCTTTGCAGCTAAATCAATCTTTCAGAAAACATCCATTTACACCAAGACAGATTTCCACCATCTTGGCTTGTTCTCATCCCTCCTCCCACTGACACACTGACAAAGACAAAGCTACAGATGAGCAGAACAATAACAGAATATGCAAGGGAGGAAAGAAGCTAATCAACAATCCCGAATGAAGACACTAAAATTAAATACTTTTAAATACAAATTAAGTGAATTCAATCAAAGGATTCAATTAGTTTCAAAACATAAAGTCATTGTCCTGTGAGGAAAAGTCTCATGTACTGAAGATAAGGAAAACTAAACAGTAGGGTAAACAAATAATACATTAAAAAAATTAAATAAATGTATGTCTCTTAAATGCTAACTGTTTGAACTGTTGGAGCGTATTAAGATTATTTTATGGTCACATTTATTTTACAGGAAACTGACGCATCAAACCCGAGGATCCTCACATGTTTTTCCTCTTTAAAGTCAATTATCCCAGTTTTGTCCAATCTAGTTAACCAAGTTTGATCCGTAAATATTTGGACAAGCTTTCAAATATTTACATCTCCCCTCCTTGTTCTGAGAAATGAAAATACTATGCTTTTGATAATTTATGTGTGGATATTGTAAAGGAATATTTTAGTCTTGTTAAAGTATATAGAGTTTAGTGACTTGTCCTCGGGAATCTGTTTAATGGTTAAAGTGTATTCCTGCCTGTAATGTGATCCATAGCTTCTCAGGAAGACACAGGTCAAGAGGTCATCTGATGTCTTGTCGGGGAGAAGCTTGGCTCATGTGGGTTTGCAATACAACGAGTCTTTGTCTCGACATCTGGCATGCATTAAAGGAAAACCTGCGTGTTTTAGGGCCCTCCTCTTCTTCATGATAGATGTGTTCTTGGCGCTTTTGTCTTCAGAGTTGGCTGGTATCTTACATGAGAACTGTATTATACTGTGATCTCTCCGGCCGTCTGTCTCTCAATAAATATCAGTGTATTGACAGGCGAATCCAGTTTCCCTCATTTGATGATTGGCTCAACATTGCTGCAAAGAAGTTTTACTTCACAGATATGGTTTTCAAAATCAAAAGTTATTTACTACTGAATATTTTTTGGTAGAGTTACGGTTTTGCTTTGTATTTTTAAGGTTAGGAACCATAAACCAAGGCTCACACGTTTCCTTTTTCCTGTCAGAAAATGTACATTTGATTTTTTCTTTTTCTAATAAAATGTAGTATTATTTAACGTGAATAAATGAGTGGAAACAACCTAACTTTCTTAACAAAATGCCGCTTGCTTTGAAGTTCATTCAATGTAATCTGTGGCATCAAGTTTTCACATCACATTAGTGTAAATTGCATTCGTTTTACTGTCTCCGAATTATAAACAACTTCTAGGTTTTACATAAGCATTTAAAAGCATTGTGCAACAGGACGATAAGCTCATGACATTAAAGCTTGTATGGCACCAAACCAACATGACAAAATAAAACTATAACTCAGTGCTTATGAGTCTGACTCACCTGAAATTAATCTCTTTACAAAGCCCTAATATCCCAGAGAGGATTTTTAGGTATCCTCCAAAATTTATGTGAGCCATCAAACAATCAGTATGACACATTTTAAACATTGTCTATTAATAGAATAATAAATCAGGAGAGTTGTGCAGACTTGGCAGAGGTATGCGATCTTTGAGTGCTTTGTAATTCACTTTGTGTCTTCTATCCCATCCATCAATGATGCTCTTCAGTTCTTTTGAGTGATGTATGTACTATCAGAAATGTTGTTCAAAAAGCTTCAAATAAAATATAAAACTAAAACTGGAGATTTCTTTATGGATTCTGCGAACATCTGGCGAGCAGATGGACGGAAACAGAAGCAGAACTGCAGGAGCAGAAAGACCGAAAATACAGCACTTGAGACTATTCTCACACTTGAAGCGATTTGAGTAGTACCAAGTCAAGACTCACTTGACATTGGGTGTGGAATGAGCCTTTACCAGGAAGTCAGCCCTGGTGCTTCCTAATTGTAATTCCATAATAAGGCACCCCTAGCTATGTAAATAAGTGGAGGGGCAGGCATCTGGGGGACGGAGGGGAAGGGGAGAAGGAGGGGAGGAGAGGTGGTGCACAGAGCCCTTCAGCAGGAGAAAGCCTCTGTAAGCAGTGGGGTAATCACTGAACCAGGCCAAAACTTTAATTAGTTTGGAGAAGGAGGGGAAAAATCAATGCACTTTACAGCTTCCTCTCCACCCCTCCTTCCTTCACATATTCTCCCTCTCACACATAAGCCCTAACTTCTCTATCTCTCTGTTCCCTGCCCTGTGCTCCAGTTACCTCTCTGTCTTTATCCATCTCGCCTTTTTACGCCACCATCGTCTCCTCCTCCTGGCACTTCGCGTCGCCGTCCGTAACCTCATTCATCTCATGAAAACTGCATAATGGAATTAGGTTCAGATAACGCATTGTGACCCAGGAATAGCGAGAGTACGATATGTATAAAAATGACCTAAAATCTCCTCTCTTCTAACTTAATATCTATTCTACACACACGGCTGAAAGGGAGGGATATGTGATTAAAGCAATTAACATGTTGTTGCAAAAGTGACCAATTTCTAATTACGTTACTTAATTATAGAGCGCGCATTGGTGGGTGTCAATGAAATGCAGGACTTTACACATTTCTCGCCTCACTGACAAAAAAGAGAGAATGTCTGCTTCACTTGAACACTGCGCTCAACACAGGGGTAAACACGATGAATAAAACAAGTGGACTGGTTGTAAACATTGTCTGATGTTGAGCACAGAGCCGTACACACACCCATGCAAATACCCCCAAACCCCTCACACACACGTACGGGCAAACAGTACACTCAGGGGCAACACACACACACACACACACACACACACACACACCACACACACACACACACACAGGCGCCAGTACAGACAAAGTAAAAGCATGAAAAACATCAAACACACACACATACCGCACCACACACACCCACACATTCGTTCACAGTGTGGAACAAGTCTGTTGAGTGGCAGTTAGCACCTATTCTGCAGCCATGGCAACCAGCTCCATGGCGATAGATAGCGGCCAAGTGGGTCAGAGTCTGTGAGTGTGATAACCTTGTAAAGATCACCTTCAAGCCAAATATATTACACACTCACATCCCTCCGTCTCTGCACCGGTGAAAGCTGCATCTTCTGACCCCGGACGCTACAACTATGCATCATGTAACTATGATGCTATCTGTTGCTTCTAAACGTTTAACTGATGATCAAACCTGAGAAAAAGACGTCTGAAGCCATTTCAGTTCAATAAAATGACAAGTCACAACCACATTTTGGTTTGTCAAAATCGACCCTTTTCTCACTGTAGTGACAGGTGTTCACAGACTTCAATGGCCCCACTAATTCTTTATGTAATTGCCCTTCACTCTTGCAAGGTTTTCCTCGGCTTGTGCGAGACGCTAACAGCTGCACAACAGCTCAGTTTCACTCACACACATAATGTCAGATGACTATTCAGTGGAAGAAATTAGTATTTTTCACCTCCTACTGACCTACTGCATACATTATTTTCGAGCTTTGTTTAAATACTACAGCCACCGTCGGACCAAGCCCTTTCATTCCCTCTACTCTCGCTGGGGCAGTGCATAATAAATCAATAACGCACTCTTTCAAAATGAAAATGAAGAGGGCTAGTGACTAAGCCCCAAATCCCCAGTGATGTTAAAGCTCTCTGAGTGTCTGGCAAGTTAAATCAAATGTCCCCTAAGTTCTTCCAATACTAGAAAGCATTTCAAACACGAATATTTATTAAATTGCTTTGGCCGAAAAACCTGCTGAGGTGAATAAGAGACAGTGTGCAAGAGCATTGAAAAAAATAAGAAGAGCAGCAGCAGGAGCCGTGTTGTGATCTCGGACCACAGACAGAACTTCATGACCAGACTGTCAAAATGAGTGTCCCACCATGCAAAACAGTCATATCCGCCCAAACAGTGTGAATGTGCCAACACTCCCACAGAGGCATTTGCACGCACACACGTTAAAAACCACACAGATATATAGTCGGTATAGCTGGAACACAATTGATGCACTTACACCCACCTAAACAACAAACACAGCTATGCAGTCGCACATAAAGTACTGTGCAACACTCTCTCTGGCCTTCTAGTCAGAGCTGAGCATGACACCTGACATTTCTCTGTGTTTTGTCGTTGTAAATTGTTGTCTTTTCTATTTCTTTGTCTTATGTTATTGTAGTGTGCTTTTATTACATGTACAGCACTTTGGCTCGATGAAAAATCGTTTTTAAATGTGCTTTATAAATAAAACTTGATTAGATTTGATAACAATAGAAGGGGAACTACGTGTACTCACACTCAGCCTTGGCACACACCAGGCTGGCTGATGGGTAACTGAACGAGCGTAAGATGGATCCTATGGCCAGACTCAGGTCCTCGTTGCTAGGGTACAGCGTGACAGAGGCGAATCGCAGGTACGGCAAGCGGGGAGTTTCCTCCGGACCGATCTTTACATGAGGGATCTGGAAGAGAGGAGAGAGGAACATTAAGGAAGGCAAATGTGTCGTGATTAACTCCCCTTCTAACACTCGAGCAGGAAAAAACTGTGAATAAGAACCATCCATTAGTGAAGGCTACAGAGGGAGAAAAATAAAGGATAGATAGATGGAAGAGGCACCTTAAAGATAAAAGGCTACGGGGAGAAAGCAGTTGGTTAATTATATGAGAAGAAATGCAAGGAAAACTAATCTTTAGAGACATTCATCATGACGTGTGTGTGTGGTAGGAGGGGTAGGTGTCAGAAAGGAAGAATAACTAGTTGTCTGTATGTTTACATGAAATCTGTGTGTGTTAATCCTCCACACTCACCTCCTTCTCTCCACATATATGACTGACAGTAGAGCCGGAGGCGGGGCTGGAGGCGGGACCTATCACAGAGACGACGCCTTTGGGTAGAATCTGACACACTGAAAGGGAAGAAGGGGGGAAATACACATTGAATATGCAGACACATTCCCCTCTGCTACAGTTGGATGGCAGCTTGCAGTTGGCATACAGTAACACAGCTGCAGTCAGGGGAGAAGAGGGGACATTCAAAATGCAGCAAAAAACTCAGAAGTTGCATTAGTATTTCACTTTAAGCACTGCTTCTATTGTAGCAGCACGATCTGTCTCATTATAATCAGATTCATGTTGAGATGAATGCTCCGGGGACGACAGCAGGGCAGGCCAGGGTTGCCTGCTGCGATTATTCACTTGTTAAGACAGTTGTTTTATTGATTTGAATGATTTTGAATCATTAATTTTGAATGTTATTATATCTCTGGCATTAGAACAATCGTAACGGACTGATGGTCGCCTTCGAATAACAAATGCCGGTTTGCATAATTATTTGCACGAAGACATCGATGTGGGGGAGGCGGGGGAAACGATTTTACACTTTTGTTTATTACAACAAGTACTTTGCTCAGGAGAGGCTCAATCTAACAATCTCTATTGATGCAGTTCAAGCATACATTTCACTCTCCAAAACCTCCATGACAACAAGTATCCACTATGTCCATATTCCCATCTTAATGGGAAGAAATTATCTTTTTGTTTAATACATCTTATCAACGTAAAAAAATATATTCTTCCTGATTTTTTTAGGAGGTTGCCATGCCATCTATTCCCTTACTCTGATTTTAAAAATTATTTATTTCATTGTCAATATTGTGATGTTTGAATGGCTTTTGTGTTGACCTCAAGAAGATTAGTGATATTTGCGGAAGTACACTCTGTAGGGGGATCTTAAGTAAAAGTAAAAATCCTTTATTTTCTGGTTATGAACTTTCAATTTAGCTTATAAAAGTTCTGAATGACTCTCATAGTCTCACAGTTAATACCCTAATCACCCAATAAGCACAACCCTCTGAAATAAATGTATTAAAAGGCAAGGCTCGGTACTCTCTCTTCTTTGAAATCCTGACAAAGATCAGCTAAGGTCAAAAACTTGATGCTTTTTAAATCGTCTCCATTATGCTGAACATATACATTAATGATTACAAGTTAGTTACAGGACAGTTGTGGTCATCATCTGTCTTACACTTGACTAATTTAGCAGTCTCTGTAACTGATCAATACGCTTATTCACTTTCCTGCCAGGAGTCAGAGGAGAAGACTCATGTCTCAAGACTGTACGATAAATATGAAGCTAAACTAAGCTAACCGGCTGCAGACTGTAGTTAGTCAGTCGTATGAAGCCTTCAGAGTGGTCTCATCTAACTCTCAGCAAGAAAGCAATAAGCATATTTTGCTACCATTGACCAGTCTTCCTAAAAAAGGATACATTCATAATTTACCATAAAGCTAATATTAAATAAATGGTAATGTAGCTGATGCTTTAAAGCTGACATTTTGTAGACATGCCGAGGAGCGCTAAGGGGCTGGACAGCTTGCTCAAGGACACTTCGACATGTTTACTGCAGGGGGTGGGATCGAACCCTCTGATTGGTGGAAGCTTATTTACCCCCTGCGAAACAGTCTAACTTGTTTTGCACAGTATCTTTTAGTCTAATGAGTTTTTATTACTGTTTTTTTGTCTACCCACCTAAAAAAAAACAGCTTTCAGAGATCCAGAAGAAATGAGTCTGCGGAGTTAACTGCGTTATTCTTATAGTAATAAAGCTCTTTTTATTGCTGGTATATTTGGTTGGTATTTTAATTCATCCCAATTAGTCGTCCTCAGTCGCTGCCAGTGCCTCTGTGTGTGTGCGGCGCCCACACTGTGTGAATGTGCATTTGTGTCTGAAGATAGGGATGTGTGTGCATGCATGTGTAAATGTGCATGATTGTGTGTGTGTGTAAAATGTGTGTGAAAATGTGCATGATTGGGTGTGTATGTGTGTGTGTGTGTGCCTCAGACAGCCGTAGCTGTAAGATGATGAGCTCTCTGATCCAGAGGCCAAAATAAGCCGAAAGCAAACAAGCCTGTCAAAGTCTCCTGCCCATCGGTCAAGGGCACACACACACACACACACACACACACACACACACACCACACACACACACACACACACACACACACCACACACAACTCAAGCATGCACAGATGTACACACCCCATCTTCAGCACACAGACATGTTGCCAGTAGCTCGTGGCAGGGTCGGGAGCAGGAGCCTGTTGTCAGCTCAGTGGCTGGATTCAGCAGCACTTCTTCAGTCTTTACACTCTCCAAATATTCTGTTTTAAATCTGTGTATCATACAAGTGTCATGGAGCGGCCCTTTGTGCTGCTGCTGCTTTCTGCTGGTCTGTGCTGCTGATCTGTGTTAGTGTTTGATGATTTGTTGTTGCCGTGTCCTGCACAGTAGGCAGAGCCAGCTGTTACTGCAGGGCACTGGTCCACTGTTTTTAATGAGACAGGCTTACTGGCCCATTACTGGTCTCCAATGATGTGTAAACTAATCAGTGAACGCCCTTACTGGTTGCTAATCACACGAAAGTGGGGGTGTTTTAACTATCCGGACATCATTTGCTCATAAAAAAAGCAGCTTTTTTTCGGAAATGTAATTACCTTTTTTGAAAATATCATCAGCCTTTTTAAGTGGGATCAAAACTGCAGTAGACTGCTTTTCTACTCTTAGCCAGTCACTATAAATATTAAAAGTTCATATTAATAATAATAACTACTGGTATTTTTCGTGGTCACTTTCTGCCTGGGCTAATTATCCTGCTGGACTGTCATAGATTAAGCAGGACTTTATCAGTCAGTATCGCCCTGGATGTTTCCGCTCTACTGGTTTTCTTTGGCATGCGTCGGCGCCACTCACTGGTGTCAGTAGTGTCGTACTGGGAGTTTTTTGCAGTTCGTATATGTCCACCTCCACCCGGGCGCGGGCCGGACCCTCCATGGCGCTGTTGATGTTCTCTCGGGCCAGGGACAGCGCCAGCCGCTCCCCCGCCCCACACACAGACTGGTCATCCAGGATCGCCGGCTAGAGGCGAGAGAAGAAGGAGAGGAGTGTGAAGTCTTTCATCGGTCGCTCTGCCAGAAAGCATATAAGTGTATTTCCCAAAATCTCATACTACCAGTTCAGTGTGTGTAGTTGTTATTTAGTTGCTACAAAGTTCAAGTCCTTTAGTATATGATGTGTTTGGATAATTTCGGCAGGCCAATGTGTTATTTGGTCAGACAAAGATATTGACTTCTTACACAAAATTATATATTTCGAAGTGTGAAGGTCTTTTCATCTGTCTCTCCGCCAGAAAGCAAAGAAGTGTATTTCCCAAAATGTCCTGCTACCACTTCAGTGCACTAATGTACATTTCCCAAAGATATTGAAGTGACTGTTATTTGTATATTTGATTGTTGTGCTTTTATTGATGTCTTACGATACGATAATACTTTATTGATCAGATCAAGTCTGATTTGACTTGCATCACAGCAGCTCCATGTGTAACATCAACGTAGACAAATATCAAGACACAATACATGAAAAACAAACAACAAACATTTAACATCACAATCACTGAGAGAAAAAAATGTCAATGACCCTTTATAGCGTGCATTTGATCTGGGATTCAGCTCTGTATTTACTGTGAGGATACAGTCTGACTTTTTTGAATCGTGGGACCCTGTATCTCCGATTAGATGCTAGCAGTTCATATTCGCTGTTCAGAACTGGTTTGGGTCAGAGATGATGTTGCTGGACAGCCTTATTAGGTTGTAAGCTCAAGTCCTTTAGTCTATGATGTGTTTAGATCATTTTGGCAGGACAATGTGTTATTTTGGTCAGACTCAAATCTTTACTTCTTATAGAAAATGTAATATTTCGAAGTAAGGGGTGTTGCCCTGAACTGGCATTGACTGTAGCCATAATATGTAAAAATAAAAAATGTATATGATGTTAAAATGACACATATATTAACATTGTTTAATACCCAAGTGCTTCTTGAATCATTTTATTTTACAAATATTTTTGTACATTTTTCTACAGTTATGGGTACAGACTCTCTATCCATTTTCCTACATTATATTTTTTGTATAATTCATCCACTGACAAACTGTGTATTTCTCAAAACGAACAAAGAGGTAGACTCATTTTTAGGATTGAAAATGATTCCTCTTTTTTTCCCTATAGACATGTGGAAATATAGTTGTTGAAAATGATTGAAGCCACAATTACTGCAAAGTGAAAATCTGATATCAGGCAACCCTATTTTTCGAATACTCTTACATCTGTATGAGGAAACCAATTGAAATGTATAAAATCACATATGAGTGTTGTTGCAAGGCAAGGCAAGTTTATTTATATAGCACTTTTCAACACAAGGCAATTCAAAGTGCTTTACAAAAAACGAAAGACATTAAGAAAATGGCATTTAAAATCAGTCATTAAAAAGAAAAGCTAAAAAAAACATTAAAAGAAAAAATACATGGATAAAAGTTACAGTGCAGTTTAAGATGTAAATAGTTTAATTAAAAGCAGCGGCAAAAAGAAAAGTCTTCAGCCTGGATTTGAAAGTAGTCAGAGTTGCAGCGGACCTGCAGGTTTCTGGGAGTTTGTTCCAGATATTTGGAGCATAATAACTGAACGCTGCTTCTCCATGTTTAGTTCTGACTCTGGGGACAGAAAGCTGACCAGTCCCTGAAGACCTGAGAGATCTGGATGGTTCATAATTTAGCAGGAGGTCAGAAATGTATTTTGGGCCTAAACCATTCAGTGCTTTATAAACCAGCAGCAGTATTTTGAAATCTATTCTTGACACACAGGAAGCCAGTGTAAAGACTTCAGAACAGGAGTGATGTGATCCACTTTCTTAGTGTTAGTGAGGACTCGAGCAGCGGCGTTCTGAATCAGCTGCAGCTTTCTAATAGATTTTTTAGTGAGACCTGTGAAGACACCATTGCAGTAGTCGAGTCTACTGAAGATAAAGCATGGACAAGTTTTTACAAATCCTGCTGTGCATTAGTCTTTTATCCTAGATATATTCTTTAGGTGATAGTAGGCTGATTTAGTAACTGTTTTAATGTGACTGTTGAAACTCAGGTCAGAGTCCATGACTACACCTAGATTTCTGGCTCTATCTGTTGTTTTGAACATTGCAGACTGAAGCTCAGCGAAGGTATCAGACTGCTACTCATGATGGAGCCTTTTTTGGAGAAAATCTACTTTTATTCTCACACCTGCATATAATACATTTCTGACCTACTGCTAAATTATGAACCATCCAGATCTCTCAGGTCTTCAGGACTGGTCAGCTTTCTGTCCCAGAGTCAGAACTAAACACGGAGAAGCAGCGTTCAGTTATTATGCTCCAATATCTGGAACAAACTCCCAGAAACCTGCAGGTCCGCTGCAACTCTGACTACTTTTAAATCCAGGCTGAAGACTTTTCTTTTTGTCGCTGCTTTTAATTGAACTATTCACATCTTAAACTGCACTGTAACTTTTATCACTGTAACTTTTATTCATGTATTCTTTCTTTTAATGTTTATTTTATTATCTTTGCTTTTTAATGACTGATTTTAAATGCCATTTTCTTAATGTCTTTAATTTTTTGTAAAGCACTTGAATTGCCTTGTGTTGAAAGGTGCTATATAAATAAACTTGCCTTGCCTTGCCTAGTAGATGAAAAAGTAGTTATTCTAATAAGATTGTATCATGGATCACTTGCATGGTGAAATATCTAATTCCGTATAACGAGATTGGACACCAGAAAGTATATTATTACTGCACTTTTGGCCTTTGAGAGTCATTTTATTCTTGATGTTCTGACCAAAGTGGCAAAACTCACTTTGAGTCACCTAAAGAGCCCAAAACCAACCAGGAAAAGTATGTTGAGAATTTTTTTTCATGTAGTGAGGATGGAGGGACGGCTACCCCATGCGGACGGAGGAGAGCACAGGGTCTGACCGAGGGAGCGTGGCGGCATGGTGACTAGCAGGAGGAAGAGGAAGTGTATTGACAGCAGCAGTGCTGGCAGAGCCGGCATCTTCTACTGCTCCTCATGGAGAACGGTCTGCTGGATGCCTGTACCACCACCTGCAGGAAGGGAGGACACAACACACACGTTAGTGGACACATCAACATTCTCCTGGCATAAAAATGTTTTCCCTTCTTCTAATTCTGCGGCTTATCTTTAGTTTGCACTGTCACATTTCAATGGCGTGGGAGCACCTAATGTGACAACACATACAATAGCCTATGAAGATGTTCTCACACCACAGAGGCAGCCCAGTCCCATGCACATCGCCTGTCTAATAATAAAATGCTAAACGCACATCTCTATTCATGTCTCTGGTGGAGAAACTGCCTTTAGAAGTGACAGGACTCAGCATGAAGGGATCTCCAGGGGGTTTAAAGACGACTTTACAAGCTGGCACACACATCGAGGCACTCAAACACTTCCACACTTCCACACATACAAACAAGGGCATACACAAGTATATACCAGATAGAGTAATAGATCCAACACAAAGACACAAGTAGGACCGTGTTCTATTCAACCACACACGCCTGAGCCCACGACGCATATCGTTGACTTTTTTACGATACCAGTGTTTCCCCTATATACAAATAGCGGCGGCGCAGCGCCACTATTTGTATATAATCTCGCCTAAAATCTCGCCTAGGCAGCAAATTGGCTAGAACCGGGCCTGGTACTAGGCCTCAAGAGCCTTTCTTGTGCTGGCAGACACATAGAAACAAATTGGCGGGGCGCACTTTGCACACACTAAAAATTCCACGCGCTCCGCGCTCACATTATGCTGGGCCCACGTGCCTTAGCACCGCTGCTATGACTCCATCCTAGGGGAAACACTGGATACCGATACCACTGAACGATACCGATACTCGACCGATACATATCGTGATACTTTCATGTTGCATAAGGGAAACCTTGAAGTGCTTTATGATATAGTTAACATGTCAAATGAATATTACAATTAATTGTGGGACTTAGACCTTTTAGTACTGAACAAACAATGAAAAACACGTTTGACAACATGGGCTTGAAGACTGTAAATTCATGTACTCTGATTTTATGTGACAGTAGCAAATGTTTTGAGAGGTTGGATGTGTTGCCGCCTTTACCAGAAATAAACTTCTTGCAGTGGTTACAGACCCCACCATTCAGACTTGCAGTGGTTACAGACCCCACCATTCAGACTGGCAGTGGTTACAGACCCCACCATTCAGACTGGCAGTGGTTACAGACCCCACCATTCAGACTGGCAGTGGTTACAGACCCCACCATTCAGACTAGCAGTGGTTACAGACCCCACCATTCAGACTAGGCAGTGGTTACAGACCCCACCATTCAGACTGGCAGTGGTTACAGACCCCACCATTCAGACTAGCAGTGGTTACAGACCCCACCACAGACTTGCAGTGGTTACAGACCCCACCATTCAGACTGGCAGTGGTTACAGACCCCACCATTCAGACTGGCAGTGGTTACAGACCCCACCATTCAGACTGGCAGTGGTTACAGACCCCACCATTCAGACTGGCAGTGGTTACAGACCCCACCATTCAGACTGGCAGTGGTTACAGACCCCACCATTCAGACTGGCAGTGGTTACAGACCCCACCATTCAGACTGGCAGTGGTTACAGACCCCACCATTCAGACTAGCAGTGGTTACAGACCCCACCATTCAGACTGGCAGTGGTTACAGACCCCACCATTCAGACTGGCAGTGGTTACAGACCCCACCATTCAGACTTGCAGTGGTTACAGACCCCACCATTCAGACTGGCAGTGGTTACAGACCCCACCATTCAGACTGCAGTGGTTACAGACCCCACCATTCAGACTGGCAGTGGTTACAGACCCCACCATTCAGACTGGCAGTGGTTACAGACCCCACCATTCAGACTGGCAGTGGTTACAGACCCCACCATTCAGACTGGCAGTGGTTACAGACCCCACCATTCAGACTGGCAGTGGTTACAGACCCCACCATCAGACTGGCAGTGGTTACAGACCCCACCATTCAGACTGGCAGTGGTTACAGACCCCACCATTCAGACTGGCAGTGGTTACAGACCCCACCATTCAGACTTGCTGCCCACTTTAGATTTTCGTGCCGACACGAGCTAATGAAAAAACAAAAGCTAACCGAAAGGCTCAGACGTTCGGGAGGAAGGTGAAGGGCGTTGCTTGGAAATCAAGCCAATCACTGAAGCCGTTGCAAGATGCGCAATCTGATTGGCTGGCAGTTTGGGCGTGAGTTTAAGGATATTACGCCGGATCTGATTTTGGTACGGTATACCGTAGCCACTAGTAACCGGTATTTCGGTAATACCGGGAACCGGTATGCACCCCTAGCCCACGTTCATGTTTTTTTTCTATAACATAGCCCCGACCTCGACCTCCAAACAGACAAAAAAAAAAAAAAAAAGACACATAGAAAGCTCAGCTGAGCCTCAGTGGTGCTAAGCAGAGTGACAAGGCCTCGCTCTGACAGACGTGTTGACAAGGCAGTGTGAAAGGATAGAGAGATGAAGGGAGGGGTGAATACAGAGGAGAGGGGGACAGACAGGGAGGATGGGGGGGGGGGGCAGTTGACCTGGGAAAGCTGGTCAACCAGTCTAACTCTCGACACATTTGACAGACAGCTGAAAGAGTCAGTTCATGACCTTCAATTGACCCTTCAGCTGTAAACACAGACATGCTGGAGTGGTAGAAATCTGACCTCTGACCTTTAAAAGCACATGAGGGGATGAAAATGAGTCTTGTGTGTTTGTGCATACACTAGTCTGAACATCAAAGAGGCAGATAATACGCATTGTCGTCACTGTGCTGAACGTCCCTTCCACCTCTAATCTTTTTTGTCTTTATACCTTTTCACTTTGAGATCTTTTTTTTCTGGGCTCACCTCTCCAACACTTGTTTAGCTTTGATGTTTAAAGCACAAAAAAACCTGTAACCCTGTGCTTTGAATCCCTCATCACGTCTCATGAACCAACTGAACTTCCCGATTTTTCTTTCTTCGCTATCTGTGCAATTACTGACCTGACTTTCTTCCTGTGCCGTGTCAAAGGGTGGGCAAGGGGCTACACAAACATGTCTGTAATGCTAATAGCATGCGCCATACTGTGCAGATGGCTGTGTTGCTCTAATTATTGTAACCGCAGCTCAAAGTGAGCAGTGGCAGAACGTATGCAGGGCCATCTGTATGTGAGACACAGCATATAATAACTGGCACACAGTGGGAGTCATTTATTTCCTCTTTCTATTCATTAAATCATATACAGTATGTTCTAATAATGGTGGATAAAATGGTGAACACTCTTCTTATATATGTACTGTATAATGGTGTACATGTACAGCTTATTATTCTGACCACACAGTGAGAGCAAAACAGCTACTTCATTGTTCTGTTGCCACTGTGTGCTGTTTGCTCCCCACATCAGTGGTCGCTTTCTCAATGCACCCTTCCCCAAAGAGAGTGTGTGTGTGTGTGTGTGTGTGTGTGTGTGTGTGTGTGTGTGTGTGCGTGCGTGCATGCGTGCGTGCGTGCGTGCGTGCGTGCGTGTGGCTTCCAGACATGTGTTCATTTCAGCACATGTATGGGGATGAGTGTGTGTGATGGTGTATTGATCGGGCACAGCTGAGGTGGCGGGCCTTCAGGTGCAGTCGATCAACCTGCAGGGCACCTATCAGGGGAGCAGTGCATTTCACAGGAGCCACCTGATTGGCTATTACCAAGAGGCAGATTGCCATGATGACGAATAAGATCCTAACGGAGGATATGCCTTCATTAATGATGGGATGGAACCCGGTGCTATTTCATTGTTATTGAGAGCTATTGACAGCATTAGACAGAGAAGATTACAGCAACTATTCTCCAGGGAGAAGAAGAAGAAGAAGGGGGAAGGAGGGGAGAGACGGAAAGCTGTGATAAGAGTGAGGAGAATGAGAGAGAGAAAAAAGGAGCACTGGGAATGGGGCCGGGGGATGGGGGAATAAGAAAATGGAAAAGAGATTGGGAAAGAGATGTGGAGGAGGATGGAGATAGAGGGACGGGAGAGCAGGTGGGAGAGTAACAAATGACATTTACTTACGTTCTGTACTCAGGCATACCTACTATATTACAGAGATGAATATGTTTGCTTTCAACCACCACCATGTATTTCACAGCGACTAGTTATTCTGCAAACATAGGTAACTTACAACTTAGAAAATATGGTGCAATGGTTCCCAACAGTACATATTAAACTAAGATATGTGCTTTTTCCCTTTCCTGTAGTGTGTTAAATAGGTTTGTGTTCATTTGAAATTCATTCTCCTTGCCTGTTCTTTTATCTCTTATATTTCTTGTTGGGAAATTGTAATATTTTCTTCCCTTTGACATTTAAAACAAATGAAGTCAGCTTGTAAATTGTCTGGAAGTACATTAATTCATATTTAATTCCAATGTTATTTAGATCCTTTTACAAAGCCGGCAGCAAATGTTGCGTCCCATCTGTGCATGTTCTTATGTTTATACATCACTTTTCTTTGTTTATTTTATTATATGCACAAGTAAAAGAGCTTAAGATTAGTTCCATCTCACCAAACCACCACATTAAAATGCAGCTAATAGGCAGCAGTTATTCATCAGTAACCAATAATATGAAAAAATAAACTATATTGGCGATATGCCGCAATTTCATGTGCCCCATCATTAGTTCAGCAGCTAAACTGTGTTTATCACTCATCGCTAATGACACATTTTGTACTCAATCAACCGCTCTCTGATTCCCAAATTTGGATTGACTACCTCACTGACAAGAACAAATACTGTGTCGAGAAGTTATTTTCTGAAGCTCTACTGCTAAAGCTCCTAACTACTACGACTTTCACTCTACAATTTAATTTAAAGGTCCCATGTCATGGCCATTTCAACTGATCATATTTCCATTGTTGAGGTCTACTAGAATACATTTAAAATCGTGCAATTTTCCAAACTCACATTGGTTTTCTCACAGCATCTCTGTATAGTATGTGTATTCACTCTCTGTCCTAAACGGCTTGTTGGAGCTCCTGCCCCCCCTCTCCCTGTGAGCCCAGTGTGCTCTGATTGGTCGGGACGTTGCGAGGCTCGCTGCTCAGTGAGCTGGCTTACTGGTGTGGTTTCCGGGTCGTCGATACAGCGAGACAGCGCGAAACTCATCCTGAGCACACACAAACACTCACAGCCGAGGTAAAAACAATAAGTGTGGCTTGATATTGAGTAAGAAAAAAGGTTTATAGCGCTGTGAGAATGGGTCTGCGGAGAGCATTTCTCCGCCATCCCAACTCGTCTATTACAAGTGTTCAGGGAGCTCTATCAAGTCAATGGGACTCCCTGTTAGCTGAACATTTACGCTAAAGGTCCTGGTGTGTGAGGAGCTCCGCGGATTGGTCTATTTGTTTCTTCCGGGAACCGCATTACCTCACTTGGTTCCCGGAAGAAAACAAATGGAGAAAGAGAAATCTCCAACGAGGCCGTTCTGGGGCAGCATAGACAGGTATTTTCGGTGTTTAGAGTTTTACTCGCTACAGGGTGGTACTTTGAGGTTTGTGACTCTGCAGACCGTTCACATGCAGAAAAAACCTTCATAACACACAAGGGGACGGGTAATAACTAGAAAAGCATTACATGGGACCTTTAAGTGCTTTGTAACTACAGGAGATGATCCAAGACATACACCATTTGTTAGGTAATACATGTAAAAGGGTACTGGGTAAGCTTAGTGAGTATTTCTTTTTGTTGTGTGTGTGGTGTAAGCTCTGCAAAAAGAGAACAAAATCATTTAATCATTCAAAACACATCTTTTCAACTCTGTCCCCCCATAAGCCCCCCCCCCCTCTCAATCAACTTCCTCTTGACTGCCTTTTTATTTTTTACTTACTTGTTTGCCTGTCCTTGTTTGATACCCTCCCTCATACTGTAAAGCGTCTTTGAGTTGTGAAAAGCGCTATATAAATAAAATGCATTATTATTATTATTAACTTAAATTTCTCAACCGAAACTGTCTGCAGTAATAACAATCTATCGAATATGAATTAAGCAAAATCACTTATAGGACAGAAACAACATGTCTGCAGTAATCAAAAAGAGAACGACAAACAAAGGAAGCAAGGCAGCGCATGAAGCCTCTCGTTGAAGTCAAGTGATTGCACCTGAGCACTTCCTGTCTGGAAAGGACACGCCCTCCTCTCCAGACAGGAGTGCTTAAAAAATCATGTCCTTTGTGTTTTCCAAACCACTTTTCACAACCCGTGTGAAAAATGTATTGAATGAAGGAAAGATGTGAAGGAGAATTCATCAGCCCACCAGCCGACATAATTATGATGCACCAGGCGAATGGTGCTTTTGGGAATTGTTGGACGGCATTATCTCCTTTCCTTTCGTAAAGGATGGTCCAATGCATCCTAAAGGTAGAGGAGATAACAAAGAAAGCATTGAAGCCCCTTTCCTATCATCTAGAGAACAGCTTTTATCATGGCTGCACTTAGGTTCTTCCGGCTCATTTCACTCTGGGTGTTTCTCAATGTCGAGGACGCTTCCTTGGTAGGACAAGTCCCTCCGAGTCAGGTCCTTCAGAGGCGAGAATCCTTCCTAGCCTCTGAAAACGAAGAATGGTGGAACAGGCTAACAGGTGTGCGTCATATGAGAGGGCCCTTAAATGGAACGCGATTTCCGCAAAGCATTGTGGGGATTTTAAGACCGCGGAGGATACACATGTGCAGCCTCGAAATTTCCCGCAACGAAGGACGCTGGCCTCGGTAGAATTCCAAGAATCCTGGACATTGGAACAGTCCTTCGGCGGGACTCGATGATGTAGCATCCTTGAAATAGTGGCTCTGGGGCAGCCTTCCTCGACATTGAGAAACACCCTCTGTTAGGACCCTTCCTAAGCAATAAAGACTATTGGTCCTCCCTTCCTCAGGTGTGACCTCTTGTGACCTCTTGATGGGGACCACTAACACCTACAGTTTATAGTCATATGTACAGGGTGCATTGACCTATATGCACCATTTCATGAAATAAAAGTAACACCGCCCCCTACTAAATTCTCTTTCTTGCCATTCTACAAAAATATTTTTGTACGTACCTCGGAGGGACTTGTCCTACCTAGGGAGGCGTGTGGTGCAGTGTGTTAGTGCGCTGATCTTTGAATCAGAGGGTAGCAAGTTCGAGTCCCACTGCAGTCAGCATGTCGTTGTGTTGAGACACTTCACCCCAAATTGCTCCTGTGGGGATTGCCCACAGTATTGAGTATGTAAGTCGCTTTGGATAAAAGCGTCTAACAAGTAACATGTAATGTAATGTACGACTCTTGTAATTGATTCTATTTGAAATGTGGTTATTGGCTGTTTAACTTAGAGGTGTTGTGCCTTTAAGCAAATTCAGTGCCATGGTTGTCTGTTCTCAGATGGAAATGTTTATCTTTATAGGACTAGCTGATCAAAAATGATTATTTCTCTCACTCCACCAGCTGCTACCAATCAGCTGATTATATACATCTACCAATTAAGATAACCAACTACATTTTGCCATGATCTCTTACAGACAATCATGGTGAAGCTATCAAACTTCACCTTCTACTTACAGCTTCACCTTCACCTGTAACATAAGATATCACAATGAGGTCTAATTGAAAAGTCTATTCCCATTTCTCATCCTCTTGTGCTAATGTCAATAATATTGGTTCACTCGAAACAGATGTCTCCCGTGATTGAATTAAAGACAATTGCTTAACGACTTCTGTTTCTTTGGACTCTTTGAAACCTCCTATACTTCAGGTACATTCAAGAAAGCAGGATTACTTTGACATTGCGGTTAAGAGAACTTCTTCTACAAGTGCAAACGAGTGAAAGAAAGCCAAGTACAATGCGCTGGTGAAGGGCTGAGGGAGTCAGAGAAATGTTGAGATGCGGTTGCCTTGTTTAATCTGGACTGCGTGTCTGGCTGCTGAACGTGCTCCGCTGCTGTAGGAGAAACGCGGCGTCCCTGTAGCAGCCGGGTGTCAGACTGCAGGGGGTGAGCAGCGAGAGGGCCAGACTAGTCTGAGCTGCACACAAAAATCAACACCCCCAACACCAACCCCCCCTCGCTCGTTTTCATTCTGCACCCTGCTGTAAGTCATCCGGCACCCTGGCACCACTGAGAAATACACAAAAGCAAAAATACATAAATATCCTGACACGCTGGGTGTGTGTGTGTGTGTGTGTGTGTGTGTGTGTGTGTGTATGTATGTTGTGTGTTGTGGTGGTGTGTGTGTGTGTGTGTGTTGTTGTGGTGTTGTGTGTGTGTGTGTGTTGTGTGGGTGTGTGTGGTGTGTGTGTGTGTGTGTGTGTGTGTGTGTGTGGGTGTGTGTGTTGTGTGGTTGGTGTGTGTGGTGTGGTGTGTTGTGTGTGTGTGTGTGTGTGTGCGCGCAGGAGACTTGGCAGCTAGCTTATAGTGTCTGCAGTGCCTATTATGAAAGAGAAAACCGTAAAATCAGAGATCTTAATTATCTAGAGAGAGCACGAGGGAGAAGGGGATGTTGGGGGGGGGGGTGGTGTGGTAGGAGGGGAAGCAAAGGGAGAGCCAGAGTGGGATGGAGGGAGGGAAGGGGGGATATTGAGAAAATCGGAAAACGAGGGAACGCTATCTCGCCTCGCACCCCCAGGCAGACGGGGATGAACGGAGGCTCAGGCAGAGGAAGCAGCATGAGCGATAGCAAGGGAGGAGAGGAAGGAGAGAGGGATGCAGAGAAAGACAAAAAGATGGAGAAAAGGCAGCTTGAAGAGTTGGGGGGGAGAGGAGAAGAGTGTCAGTGGGGGGGCTGACGAATCATTTGTTTTTCCTCCTCATGCCTTATTGTATGACACAAGAAAATCTGACAGTTATCATAATGGAAGGATGAATCATTCCGTAATTGAATTTGCAAGTGGAACGGCTTCAGTGGATGTGGATTTAAGAAGACTTTACCGCCGGCCATTATGGCACAGAAGTGTTATTTTGCTCATTCTTCTCACAATTAAAAGTCACTGTTGACTAGAGAGCGCCTGCTGCAGACAGCTCGGCTGCCGTCCCCCAACGAGCGCGGTCAGGACATTTCAGAACATTTGTCAACACCCCAGACAATATGGATGAGCTGGGAGATGTGTGTGTGTGTGTGTGTGTGTGTGTGTGTGTGTGTGTGTGTGTGTGTGTGTGTGTGTGTGTGTGTGTGTGTTGGTGAGTGTGTGTGTATGTGTTTTTCTGTTTGTGTGTGTGTGTGTGTGTGTGTATGTGTGTGTCTGTGTGTTTTTCTGTGTCTATGTGTGTGTGTGTGTGTGTGTGTGTGTGTGTGTGTGTTGTGGTGTGTGTGTGTGTGTGTGTGTTTGTGTGTGTGTGTGTGTCTATGTGTGTGTGTCTGTGTGCCTAACCCTATCTTGACCTTCACTGTCCTCACTGTCAGATGGAATAGCTCTAACAGCCTGATCGTGTCCCTTCTGCCCATGACATGTTTTGTTGTCCATTCCCTGTAAATATCAGTAGATGTAAAAACATTGATTAGGTTTATCACAGCTGAGCACACTTGTATGATATTGCCTGGAAAAAAGTGGTCCAAGTGGCACAGTGTTGCCCTGAGTCAACGAACAAAAAAACAGTTTTAGCTCATTAATAAATACATAATAAGTCTTTAAACAATCAAATATACTTCTTTACGTATTCATGCACATGCATGTATTTTTTATTTTAAGTTGTGTACATTTCTAATATGTTAAAAAGTGAAATGTATCTTACCAAGTGGTGGCCCTGAGTCCCCTGCAGCTTTGCTTGCAGAAAGGACTGCTCCACCCCCAGACAAAATGCCACACCCATATAATTCCATCATTTTATTTATTTTTTTGCTTCACTTATGTTTATCTTATTTAAATTATGCATACACTTTTTTGCTATGTTGCAAACTATTTTTAGAATTGATTTGTATAATATTTGCAATAATAAATATTTTATTTTCACTCTTGCAAAGTCTCCCGGGGGGGCAGAAGGGAGATGTTCTAGATATTTTAAAATGCATTAAAAACATTGAAATGAGTGTTTATTTTCATGACATTATTGCACTACTTGAAAAAGGAAAAACAACAAGTCATTTAGGAAAAGTTTTAATTGTAAACAACTGTTAAAAAAAAAACATTGAAAACAACAGAAGT